GACCAATGTGCACAGTTCCAGAATGTAAGGATACAAATAAATTTAATTGTGAACGAGTACTATGCGTAAAATAATGGTTACCAAATTCTGTATTTCGCTGTTGGTCGTGCAGATATGCAAAAGGTACAGTATTCAACCTCGTCGGAGGCGGGAGCGGTGGATCTTGTAAGTTGTCATCTTTCACCTCTTCGACAACAGTAAATCTGTCGATAACCCATTCAAAACGGTTGGTAGGTACACCGTATGGTAAAGGAACCCTCACTTTTGCAGTAGATATCAAGTAAGTGGAAAACGGGGTGAGCTTGTCTGCATACTTTTCTATGTCTTCCCCGTACAGAACAGCAACCACTTTATCTTCCTGTTTTTTGATATCATGATGATTTAGTTACCAGATTCCAAAAAAATATGTGCATATAAAACTTACAGAGACATAAAAATATAGAGTATTGAAGAGATGGCAAGAAAATTGATCCATTTCTGGACAAATCTTTGCATGAGGATTCATGACAGCAGCAATATATGGATATAAGAAAGAACAATTTTCTTCATCTTTCCTTTTTCATTTCCATAAAATGTATTAAGGAACTATAGATAAATACAATAACAACCAAAAAACTTCAGAATTTAGACAGTTTAACATCGAGTGCTCCCTTGAAACTCATAAAAAATCAAATAACTTATCTAAAGGCAATATCTGAAGCAAATCCATAAAAGCCCCAAAAAATAGACGAAGAAAAGGACATCAGCGTGCACAAGTCACTGAAGTATTTAAACTTAAAATTTTTTATCAGTTATCAGATCCTCTCTTTTATTTTCTTTCCATGAAATAACATAAAGCACAATCTGCTCAGAACCTCAACTAACTTTGACGAGGCAACCAATTATAGTGATGACTCATCTTAACTATAGATGTGTAATTGGTAGATGCCTTTGATCACTTTTTGGTTAATAATAGATCTTATGCGTCAGCATATTTATATTCATGTATTCATCATGTATACCTACAAAAACTTCACAGTCTCTCGTCATTCTTATAACATCTTGAGAATCATTGGAGGAAGTTGCGAGAACATCTTCCCTTTCTATCTTCAACATTCGCAGTAAGCGAGAAACACTACAATTAGCACAGGCAAAGACAATAATACGTAGACGGGTGGAGTACTTAGTATTGGACCTGCTAGTAAGTCATACCATATAATCATCTGGAAATATGATAGTATCTAATTAGTTGATTTCTTTCATTAAAGAGGTTATTAGTCAAAATGAAGACGCATTAGAAAACTCAATGGATGGCCTGCAACTACCCTGGGAAGCTTCTGAAATAACTTTTCTCCTCTTTTGTTCTATTTGTTCTTACGTGAAAGCATGAACCTTTTTGAGTGAACTCAAGGGAATGCCTAGAAATTAAGGGAAACCGAAATTGAATTCCTCATACACCATGTGCAACCAACCTAGTAACAATATGATGTCTACAACGAAGAAATCAATAGGGATAAATTTGAAAGAGAGGGAAAAAAAAGAACCAACAACGTCCAACTGAACAAATTGAATCAGCAAAGAAGAAATTCCTAAGGCCACTCCTAAATAAAAACAAAAATACCGACAAAACTAACCTTTCAACAAGAATGTGTAAGGATAATGGNTAAAATCCAAACTGGTAGCTCCCAGAATGTATAAAATTCAGCAGAACTGGTTAGTAGCAAAAAATATTATATGTAACTAAAAGAAAATTTCGACCAGGGCAAGTGCAAAAAGTAATGCGAAAATATACTTTTAGACAAACCAAGGGTTAAAAGGGCGGATGTAATTAATCCGAAACAGAAACCCAAAAGTTTGGTATCACATTTATTTTTCCGAAGATGCTGGGCAAGAAAATATCAAGCAGGAGTGAATGGTAGATGCGTAAAATCTGGCTTCAGAGAGATTTTCTAATATTTACTTCTTAATATAGTTTACACCAGGAGAAATAATTAAATGTATGATAACTTAAGCTGATAAGTTTCTTTCTTTTGTTTATATTAAAAAATAATGGTGATTGAAATTATATGTCAGACAGTAGAACAAGGAATAGCATGGTAGAGAGAAAATTACATTTTCGTCTTGAACAACGACAATCTGGAATCGGGTCTTTCCATCTTTACTTTTCCTTGGTCGAGGTTTCTCAATCACTTGTACTTTTGAGATCCACTCTTTTATTTGTGGAGTGATCTTGTCAATGGTTAGTCTGTACTGCATTTTTTATGTACAATCTGCAGTGGAAAAGAAGAAGAACAAAAATAATAAATCATCATTTACTGAAAGATAAACTATAGATACCGACGGATAATTAAATAGAGGAACTGAGGACGCTATTTGGGTATAAACTACACGTCATGACAATTAGCACACGAATCTGGCACTATGGTAGTCTTACTGCACCAAACACCCACGTTGTGTAAACATTTCTGTTTTTTAAAAATATAAGATTATTGCTTGTCTAAAAAATTTCTGGGATCTTCCTACACTGCTAAAATTACATATAGGAATCATTTTCTACCAGGATGTGCGTATGTTTCTTAGCTGTTGTCCCCTGCAGAGAAGTGTCAGTTTTGCGGATATTACCTATTAGTATTAGGAACATGTATCAGACCTGCAACCAAGTGTCTCTGTATGACCATGTTAGCCAATATTGTAGGTCATTGTTGTTTTGTCTTGGGTCAAAACAATCATGTACAAAGAAGATATCCTCTCTGGTCTGCATCACTTCAATGAATGCATTCTGATTGTTACGCACCAGATTGCGTACCAACAGTATGTTGTATCGACTTCTTCATAGGTTTTTTAGCTAAGATACTATGTGCTCTAGTTGCAATATCCTCATAAAATAGCCTTTTCAATAATTTCATTGTACACAATATTTTCTGTGCAGCAATCGTCATAGCTACCTGGTATAGTGGGTCGAATTAGCACCTTCACAGAGTTCGAACTCTTTGCTCTAGACAAAGCAACATAAAGTTGGTCGTGTGAAAAAATAGGTTCTCGTAAATAAATTCCAACAAAATCCAATGTCTGACCTTGTGCCTTATTTATTGTCATGGCGAAATACAATCTTACAGGAAATTGTGTCCTTTTAAATGGGACAAGCATTTTTTTGTCTTGGGATGATAGTAAGGGTATTCTTGGGATAAACACATGTGTATTTTTTAAGTCACCCACTGAAATATTGGCGCTAATGACATGTGATTTAAAGTCGTAGCAAGTCAAACGTGTACCGTTACATAAACCCTCAGGCGGATTTAAATTTCGTAATAATATAATTGGACAGTTCTTTTTCAATGTTAATTTGTATGGCAGCAGACCAGGTGGATTTAAACTATGCAGCAAATCCTCATACTGTGATTGATTAGTAGGTTCAATGGTTTCATCAATGCTAACAAAAGTTTTTGCTTCCTCTGGAAATCGAGCAACAAGCATGTCGTTAATCTCATCAACGAAATCATTCTTAGTTGTTAGCATAACACGAGAGCTTATGCAGGACGAGGAAAAAAAATGTATGCAAATCTGGATAAGTTATCGTGAAGAGTTTATCCAAAGATTCCTTTTCAGTTATATAAGGAACGATGAAGGATGCTGGAATTTCAATCTTATTTGTTGAGGTCACTTTTTCTTTTCCATTTCCCACTCTCAATAAAAAATTACAAAATGAAGGATCATCTTTTGCTCTCATATTTTCAAATAACCGCAACCTTTCAAGTTCTTCCCAGATATGAGAATATAGTAAACTTTCATTAATGAAATCTTCTTTTTCCCCGTTTCAAACTACTGGAAGTGTTTTTCTGAAATCACCTCCAAAAACTACAACCTTTCCACCAAATAGTATTGTTGAATCCATTAAGTCCTTTAAAAGTAAATCAAGCAGTTCGATCATTCTTTTTTTCGCCATTGATACTTCGTCTCATATGATTAATTTGGCATGCTGAATCAAACATGCTAGTGAGATTTTCTTGATAATGTTGCATGTGACATTTTCGTCAATATTTATTGGAATTTTAAAACGTGAATGTGCAGTTCGTCCACCAAGATGTATAGAAGCAGCTACACCGAAAGTGGCAGTTTCCAATGCTATATATCCTTTAGATCGTATAGTTGCCAGCAACGCACGGTACAAGAAGGTTTTTCCAGTTCCTCCCGGACCATCAATAAAGAATGCTCCCGCTTTGTTTGAAAAAATCATGTCTGTAATTACATTGTACGCTTTGAGTTGATCTTCATTCAACTTTTTGTGTAGTAGTATATCCTCTTCAGTTACAATGATGGTCCTTTCATAGTACACCTCTTTTGCGTCTTTTGCAACTATAGAAGACCTTATTGCTTCTGGAACGAGATGATATTCATTTATGTCGCAACCCATAGAGTGCAATATATCATTAATATGGTTTATAACCATGTATCGTATGTCTCTTTTGTGAATATTAGGTGACAAGCTGTAATCCTCTGACATGTGCTCTTCAAATTGCTCCCAAAGTTGTCTCGGGTTAGTCAGATTGCAGTAGACCAATAATATAGCAAATAAACGTCTCAAACTGTATGGAATTTGATAACTTGCTGCTTCAGACATGCATTATGTCAAGCTATTATCACTCTGTAGCAATCCGCGCTTTTCCGCAGATTCCCTAAAGCTACTGCAGCGTTCTCCGTTAACAGTTAGTAAATCCCTATATGATTTTGGTCCTCTAATATTTATTAGTAACATCCTAAGGTAGTATAGCTCTCCTTATGTTGGATGACATGTTAGTACACGGCCAATAGCACGTTGTTTTTTTCGACGCGTCCATATTTTCTCCGTTGCAGACCAAACGAAATCTTCGGGGAATTCTCGATATAATAGATTGAGTTCTCCAGCGTCTGTGTTTGTTCTATTCATTTCAAAAAATTGTGTTGATATCGTCTGCTTAATCATCAGATTATTTACAAGCGTATCTATGTTTGTGCTGCTTTTAAATGAAACAAATTGTTGTCCTTTAAGGTGAAGTTGAAGAGGGCATACACTCGGGGTACATTTTACTGATGGAGAAACCGTACAACTGCCACATAGCTTCCGGAGGCGAGACCCATCTAGCAGACTGATATTCTTTTATCTCATCTATTACTTCTGTGTTGGTGCCCTTATTGTGTATATAAAATGCAATCTTATCGTGTCCTTTACATATATACTTATAAAGATACTTAACGACCTTAATATCAGAACATATCTCAACATTCATATGGCAATCAAATTTCCCGAGCAAAAAAGGATTATATGGAACAACCCATGAGTTATCCAAGTGTCGTTCTCTTATTTTTACTACCATTCCTGTATTGCGTCTTCTATAAATTGGATAAGATTCTATTCCTTTTGATGTCTGCTCCGCAAAGTTTTTTGGGTATTTGAATTTACAGTAACCTTTTTTCTTCATACAAGAATTTGTTGGGTTTAGATTACCGCACGGACCATGCATCATGTGTTTAAGAACAAGTGAATATAAATCTGATTCTGCTTTTTCATTAGGTATTTCTGCACTAATAATATTATCGTAGGCCTCTGGAGTAAGTAACTTGTATTCATTGGTTAATATTATAAGAAAATGAGCGTGAGGTAAACCTCGCTTTTGGAACTCTATAGTATACATAAAAGCTGCAACTTTCCCAAAGATATTTCGTTTTAGTATATCCTTTTTGAATTCTTCTATTTTCGCTCTAAATACTCGACTGATCAAATTAGGCCTGTTATGTGCCTTATCAGTTGAGATTAAATGTTCCTTTATTTCTGTCCAAGAGGGATTACATATCATTGTTATAAATAAATCAGGTTTACCGAAATGTTGCACGAGCACAATAATATCCATGTACCGTTGACGCATATCTCGGGGCCCTCCAATAAAAGAACTTGGAAGGAAAGTTTGTTTCCCGATATTAGAAGCATCGTGTTCCCCTAATCGCAAAATGTCAAGAAGTCCTTCTAGCATAGCCATTCTGAACAAATCTTGATTGAATACTGCAAAATCCAACCTTTGTGTTTCAAGTTTAATGTACTCATCAACTGAATACTGCTGAAATATTCTTCCTGTGTGCAATATTTATTTTCATCATCGTTTCTCATTTGTAGTTTGTAACAGTAATATTCACGGACAGAAACTGTATCCCTTCGTTGCTGTCCTTTAATTAAAATCTCAGCTTCCATTTCCAAATATCCGTGAAGGGAGGTAACATTTCGTATGCTTGGTACCTCTTCGTGCTGCGCAATTCTTGCGTATGCAGGACAATTTTCTGGGAGCTTTTGAATACCACAATGCCATCCACTTTGTCCTAGTGGAAACAATAGCGGATATTGCAAGGCATCGTAATAGCCATAGTAGTAATTCACTATTTGTGTTTGATCATTGTGAGGGTAAATTTGAATATGTGGTGCATTAAAGGCTGCGTCAACATTTTCCTCGGTCCATATTGCTGCAATTTCAGATGAAGTTGGCAAATTATATACTCTCTGGTCCAAGTCTATGTCACATTTGAGAGCTATATGGAAATCTCGTAGGTTCGGTATATGGACCAAAGATCGTAAAAACACAGAGTATGAGTTTATTGATAATATATCTATCAATTCCTTCACTACCGATTCATGTACTCTCTTGGAGCATGCCATCCTATGTGTCAGCTCATTGCTATTATCGTAGAAATATGATTGTATGTTTCTTGGTTTGTCATCTGTAGGGTACAAATTATTTATCCAATGGTACATCTTTCCTTGAACTCTGAAGGTGTAAATACCGGAGTTTCTTTTTGCTAAATCTTTGTCATACTTTACACCAAGTGACGTGAATGCAAAAAGATTATTTTATGTTCTAATGTATGTTCGAAAGTGGTTAGATGCCACGCTATTTCCAACATATAAATTACGCAATTTCACAGACATTTGATGAGAAGTTAACTTTACTGTCCCAGTACGACAGCAGAATGCAGGAGGTTCATATTCAAATCTTTTCGCTGAGCAAAATTTGCAAATTGGAACTCTCTGAAGCGAAACATAGTTTGAACGCAACCGACTGATGTTTGGAGTAAACTTTGTGGTTGTTGTACCATCTGTATATTCGAAATGGATCATTAAAACTAAGGCAAAGCAAAAGCAGTCATGACTGTTAATAGGAGACAAAAAACTGAACATACCTTTGGGTGTAACTATCTTGGAGACACTGTTACGTAGTTCAGTGGATACAATTGACGTTGAACCTAAAATGAAGGTAGGTGGTATTTAGATGGAACTAAATAGTGGTAGCTATTTTAAAAGCGAGCAAAGAAAGCATACTCACCTTTTTCATAGACAGAAAATGGACGTGTTTTATCTCTTTCTTTACCAGCCATTGTTCCAATCAAGGGAACAGTAGTTATATTCTCAAAAAGCGTATGTCTCTTTGACTCTTGGTATTTTAGTCGACGTTGTAGCAATAACTTTTGCTTTTTCTCTACTGCCATCTCTTTGTATTTTTCACGTCGACTGACATTTCTATCTGTCTCTGAGAGGGGACGTTTATTTTTTGTGTATGATCCATCACAATCGTAGTATTTACTCCTAAATGAAGTTGTGCAAACTGTCACACAACCCTTTAGCAAGATATCAATTTATATTAGCGAGTATGTAGAAGCACAAAAAGGTACTGCACTTTGATATACATGACACCTGCTGTGAGCACCAACAACAGCTATCGTCAAACAACATTGCAGATAAATACAGTACCACAACTTGTAGAAACAAAAACAGTGCGCAACATTAACGGTTAGTAGTACAACGGGCAGGAGAAATAGAGGATGTGCTAATAAGAGCATGCGTTTACAAATATATAAAGATAAGATAGTTGGTTACCTGTAAGCACGTCGAGCAACTTTTTTTGTCGGACCAAATGTAACAGAAGCGTCAGTAGTTCTAGAAAGGCAGAAATAAGTTGTAGTCATGGTTAGCATCAACTTCAACACATTGTGCATTCAAAATACTCGCAAAAATATTAAGATGAATGGTAAAGACAAGAAAGAAGATCACTAGAGTAAACTCTATTAGCAGACCAAATATGTGGATATGCAGTTAAAGATAGTAATAAAGAAACTAAAACTTGTGAATAGGAAATAACACGGACATCTAAAAATAAAAGAAATTGGGAGTTAAAAAGAAAAGTGGTTGTAACGTAATAAAAAAATAATCGAAACATGTTCTACCTGGGAAGCAAACACGATGTTATCTGGTTTTATATCACGATGTGCCACTCCCATTTTGTGAGAATAATTAATTGGTAAAACCAATTGCCTTAAAATAACAACAACTTTCTCAGAAAATAGTGAGAAGGGAGTGAAAAGAAAGGAAATAACTGAAAGATGCTCTAACAATTTGTTACAAACTATTCATTCATTGTGGGGACACACACGTACACTCACACCCTCTCGCGCTCATTCATTCTCATTGTCACTCACTCATCTTTACTCCTCAGACACACCACACCAGTCTCATACACACTCCCGCACACCCTTAGAAAGGCATAAGAACAGCTTTGGCACTTACTGATAAACAAAGCAAAGTAACTGTTGAATCGTATTTATTGGTAGGCTGAAGGTTTTCCTTGTGGCAAAGAAATTGAATGTACTATAGAAGCACATAAGAATTTCTTTTACATGCTAACACTGGTGGAACTAAAGATGCAAATTTGGTTGTTTTATTCTTTGGCATAAAATTATTAAGTTGTTTATGGTTAAAAAAAATATAACAATAGTAATAATATAAAGACATATACTTCATATTTAACGTGCATCAAGACTGCAAAGTAGAGAGTACTATTAATAACTCAACCTTAAAAATTCAAAATCTGAAACAAACGATCAATGGTAACCATAATTACTGAAATTGAAGCAACAAGATTAGGCTAAATAACTGGTTGATAAACATATAAGATTGTTGGAGCCATCTCTGACAGTGCTATATCTATTCGTGCTTTTACTGATATATCTAATTCGTAAGAAGTACGACAAAATAAGTTAAGATAGATTAATTTTAAGTGAAAGCCTGAATATGTAACAATAGTAAGCCTTAATGAAAACATAAGTTCAGACAGTTGATACATCACTAAAAGTTTCCCCTGATTGTTTTCTCTATTGGTTCCTTGGAAGCATATGGAGTCCGTTCGAAAGATTATTTCAATTCCTTACTGAGAATCAAATAAGCTCTATCTACTACAAACTGAAGCAGGAAAAAGAAAAGAAAACTTGATATAGCATTGCTAGTATTCAGTGAGTGACAACTCCAATTTACAAAGAAATTCCCACGAAACTACAGCAGGTGCAAACATAACTATAACAGTAAATAGTTCACAATTTGATCAAGGAAAGACTGTTTTCTCAGACCAAAGAAGACTAAAGTCTTTCCCATTGACCAGTTCCACAACCAAGTGACTTCAACACAGAACAACTTGACCAACTCTGATTTTCTTATTGTTATTAAATCCACCGAGGGAAAAATAGAGCGGCTTGCTTGTGTAGTCCTTCATATATATACTTCTATCAAAAAATGCTAGTAAGTACGTCTAATAAAGATACCTTTTCAATTAACTCAGGCACACAAACATAGTATGTTCCATAAAATTTTATTAACTACTACTCCATAAACATTTTATTTCTACTTTAATGTATTAGTTACGGTCTGCCATTCGAGTTCTTTTAATTATATAAATAAGTTATAATATTTGTTTCTTCGTAATCCGTTGATTTTGCTCATCAAACAATCGCCTTCAGTTAGCATGATAGTTTTTATCCCTTTAACTTTTGCAACTGGTAATTAGTAAACATCAGACAACTGAAAAATTGAACAAGTTGTGTAATCTAATCTCAAATTTATAGATCAAACAAAGTAATCACATGTGAGCAAACGAGCACAAATACGAAAAGGTAAACAGTGAAATATGGAGAGAAAACCCAAGCAGAACAATGTCTAATCCAGAATTTATTCAGCGGTCATAGCTAAACAATTCTATAAAGTGTCAAATATAACCCTAAAAGTGAAGATCATATTTTCCAAAAAGAAGGGCATCGAAGTAATCTAACCTGAACAGATAATCTTTAACTCAAAATATATCGCTGATCCCATAAAAACCTGAAGAGATAATGTTTAACCCCCAACGTTCATTGTTGATCCCCATGAAACACAGGTGTTAGCAAACTAAGAAAATAACTGAAACCACCAAAAACAAGAGGAGCCTGATGTTACACGTTTGAGAAGAGAAAGAGCCACGTATCCTAGGGAAGAGAACGTGAACAGAATAGTGTAAAATAAAATATGCTGAGAAGGAAAAGTTTTGGCGTAGAAATTGTGTAAACTATACCGAAAAGACTAATACCCCTAGACGACCAAGAGCACCTTATTCTCGCTTCTAAATAGGTAGAATAATAATAATAACAAAATACAATATTAACGGTTTCTTATCCTATTATGCAATCTTGACGTAAATTTGCCTTTTCACTTTTGGTTGAATATTAGTCCCTCTTTCACTTTTTAGACATTCAATTTGCTCAGGCTGGTTATAGGTTTATGTGAGGAAAAAAAAAATAGAGAATTTAAATCACATAAGTGAATCGGCAAAAAAAAAGAAGAGAGAATTAATTCAACTCAGAAGAAAATAGGTGGCAAGGCATTTTTCCTACACAAAGACTATCTAGAAGACGACTTCTTATCAAGATACAGCTGCTTGTCTTTATATATGTTGTAGGCCGTGTATTGGAAAAAAACTGAGTTTATATTAAAAGATGATGTGGCATGACACGTGGATTAGTTAAATGGTCAAAGCGCAGCAATTGACTAAGAGGCACGGATGGAAACAGCCACGGGAAGAAGAATTTAAATAGGCACGAGACAACGTATAGATACGAGTCTCGTACCAATTTAAATTATCTACAGCCAACGGATAGAAGGCATTGAAAGCAAAGATCTGGTGACAGAAAGGAGTCCAAATTCATTATTAAATACTTGATACGTTATAAAGTCGGTATTTAATAGGAATGATTGTATAACGGCTTATTTAATATCATTTATTACTCATGATTATATCATTAAAGCTGAGGCTTCATTCCTTTACCTAGAATTATNGAGTTGCTTAGAAACTTCGTTGATAGATTCCAGCGTGAAAGAATGACTCTACCTCGTGTGCCTGACAATTGGGCTGCTATAGCTTTTGCAAGTAATTTAAATGACAAAAGTTCTGAAGCCACGAGACAGCTCAAAGAAAGTCTTAGAGAATTTCCTACAACCACATGGAATGATGTTTACAACAGGTATAGCACGAAGCTGCGGATCGAAGAAGATACTGTACCTAAGCTCCATCATGAAGAAAGGGGCGGTACTCGAAGGTCAGAAACANATCTATTAGGCGTCACCATGTCAAACAACAATGCCGACAACAATAGTAACAACACATTGGGAAACCATGAGAATCAAATACATCAAAATCAAGATAATGTGGTTCTCTCTCCTCTAAATTCACCACGTCAATCTCGTGAAGGCACTCCTATTACCGAATCACGTGCTGATCAACAAGAGCAATCTGAATATTTTGAAGGAGTTACAACTGAAGCTTTGCAAAAGCTAATTGATGCACAGGTCGGCAAAGCTCTTCAGGCACTTGTTAGTCGATTGCCTGCTGCGCCACCTACACCAACTCCTAATAATAATACATTGGAGAACCCCCGTTCTGGTCTTGATAATTCTGGAAACGGAGCAACCCCCAGTGAACCACAAGAAGGGGGACCAGGTAATTTAAATAATTCGTATTTGCAAAATTTAGTACTAACCTTGCAGAAACA